TTCTTTATTGATTCTTTTTAAAAAAGGAGAACACTAAGGTCGATTAGCTTAGAACTTTGTTTTATATCTTCTCTTTGAACAAGATGGAAATTTAGGAGTAACATGGCCTTACAAACCCAACAGTGAGATCTTAAGAGATCCACAACCTACGGCTCTTCCATGGGGTGTCACAGGGTCCCCAGGAAAAAAATTGTAAATGTAAAATAATAAAATAAATATTCTTCTGTAGCAATAACAAAGTATAACATAAATTATTCTGTAGCAATTACACAAGAATATCCAGTAATGTCCCTGCCTACAATTAAACACATTCACTTACCGAAAATCGGGGCATCTGCTGTGGCAAGCCTTTTACCACAAACTTAGTCACTGCTCGGTGACATTCGTCTATCCTGGCCTGAAAGGAGACGCTACCGGTAGACTGCAGCGAGAACTGCCAGCATCTGAGCCAGACTCTGTCTGTCTCTCTCATCATGGTCGCCTAAATGCACAGTAATGGCAGGTTTTGTAATAAGGCAGATCGTGCTAACATAATATGCACTGTTAGTTGATTATTTACCTGCCGCATTAACGGGAGAGGACGTGCAAACGTTAGCGCTGCTGCTGGGTTGAGATTCATGAGTCCGGAGCAGAATTAAAAACACAGGTCATCGTGTGTTTTGTGAGCAAATGCTTTTGCATATTCGTAGTGTTTCCTCCCTTAAATGAAAATATCTACTTTGCAAGTATTGCAAGTTGCCCTGTTGTCATCTGTTCTCGTAAAGTATGACCAAACTTTTGAGCGTTTGAGCCGCTTAGGCGCCGTGTTTCCTGCCAGGTAAATGACGCTCCGCAACGTGGTGACGTCATTCGGGGCGACTGGAATCGATAAGGGAATCGTTTGCAAAAATGGCAAACGATTCCAAGGAATTGAAACAGTGGGAACCGGTTCTCAACAAGAACCGGGTTTCGATACCCATCCCTATCCATAACTCGAAATTTCAACTTATCAACTTGAAATTTTGAGAAAATTAACTTGACATTTCGAGTAAGCTCTGCCCATCGGTAAGCTACGTGGAATGCGCACTCAAAGCCGGATCGAGAGTACGTTTGCTGATAGTAACACCATGTGATTCAGCTAATAACACAAGGATTTCGTCATTTGTGAAGCCACACTTTGTGCATTCATGACTGGCTGTAATACTTGTACCTTAGCTGTAGCATTTGTAGCTGAGGGCTTCAGCTTCCGGGTAACAAAGAAATTACGTAATTCATGTAGATTACTGAATTTCGATTTAATAACTCAAAATTTCGAGAAAAGTAAGTCAACATTTCAAGCTACTTTTCCGAAATTTTGAGTTAGTAAGACAAACTTTCGAGTTAATAAGTCGAAATTTCGAGTTATTTTCTCGAAATTTCGACTTAATAACTCAAAATTTCGAATTATTAAATCAAAATTTTGAGAAAAGTAAGTCAACATTTCAAGCTACTTTTCCGAAATTTTGAGTTAGTAAGACAAACTTTCGAGTTAATAAGTCGAAATTTCGAGTTAAGTCTATTTCTCAAAATTTCGAGTTATGGATCCTTTTTTTTTTCTTTGTGGTGGAAACGGGCTTCCATAAAGAGGTGAAACATCATCACGAAAATTAAAGAAGTCCAGTCACTTTCTTTCTAAACTCCATAGACTACTATGACTTGAATGACTAAGAACCTACACAGACACACTAAACTATGCTTGAGGTCTATCTCACACAGTAGTCCCACTTGCGCTTTTGTTAATCAGAGGCAGCCAATCAGAAGAATGTTTGTTAAAGTGCTAAAAAAAAAAAAACAGCTTATTTCAGACAGTGGATAAGCTGCGTGCACCAAAACCTCAGGATAGGAATTATTGTGTAAATGATGAAAAAAATCCTCTCGTACAGTCCAAGAATCAAATGATGGAGGTGAAAATAAGGATAATAAGCTGTGTTTTATGTTATAACTGATCAGTCTGTGTAGATTTGGATGTGAGGTTTGGATGTTTGCAATTATCCTGAGGGTTACAGACAGTACAAAAGTGACTTCTTTTCCTTCTCTGTCTTTATTTTTTGCAAAGTTAACCACTGAAGTGTAGCTCAGAGTCGCCTAGTTTACTGGCTACACCACATCAAAAACTTTCTTGACATCTCTTGACAGGTTTCATTGCTTGTCTTCAGTCCCCCTGCCTCCAAAATGTGGCTAAGGGTGATTCATATCTGGCAGGCCCTTAGACACCATGTTAGGTGAAAGTGGCGAATTATTATGTCTTTGCCTTTGTGGTGGGTGGAGTGATTGCTCTAAATGTTGCTCCTTTATGTTTCACTCAAAAGTGATGCAGCAATAGCTATTCCTGCTGGCAGGCTTAATTATTTAATGTGGTGAACCACATTGAGGCAAGCTCCATCTTCCATCTGAAGAGAAAACTAGAATTTTGTGCTTTAATCTTAACATCGTCTTCTGTGATTAGCATGCAAAATACCACAGGAAGTCTCAGGATCTCGTCCCCAGATAATGAACTTTGTACTTTGTTGATGACTAGCTTACTGACAAACCATTGACTAAGAGTCCCACAGCTGGACCACATTCAAGTCCAAAGTGAAACTGGTGACAAGTCAAAATTGCTGCCAGGGTTCCTGTGAGTGCATGTACATCATCACCCTCTTAATATGCACAGAGCACCCTACAGAAAAAAATACAGTCTGTGCACCCTATTTAGGTTGTAACAGTCACTAACATTTAACTGATACCAAGAAAGCTTATTTCTCCCTACACAGCAGCCAGTAATTTATTAATATTTTCTTTTCCCCTTCTTATTTATCCGAAGTTGTCACAACTTCTTCTGTTCCAGTGGAGATAACCTGTACCAAGAAGGTTTCTACACATAAAATTATATTTGTTATGATTACCTTTTAGCTTTTACTCTGAAAAAAAAGGGGGAGAGGGGCTTTTGCGGGGCCACCAGTCTTCTTTTCTCAACACCATGCACGTCACAAACACCCAGAAAACTTGACTGTGCAGTCTAAATCCTGCTTGCTCTCCGAGTCAGTCTTGTCCTCCACACACATTCCAACACATTCCCATGACCTGGCTGAGTTCATGAGGAACATAAGCACATGATGATGGTGATGATTAAGAAAATCATGAAGAAATCTTCAAATTTATTGACGTAGGTCAGGGCACTTGGCAGAGGTCAGTTTGTGCCTTATTTGGATGCACGGTCTTGGTGAACCCGGTGCACTCTGTGGATGTGGTACAGTAGCACGACTGGATTCTAAGCAGGAGGAAAACTGGAGCAGACCCGCAGTCCGTCCTGCCTCACTTACAATGCCAGCACAGGAAATCCTCCTTTTGATTGCTAAATGAAGGCGCAAGATTGAGAACAATAACTGTGCGTCCACTGTGTAGTGCCTTGCACTTGAGCTCTATGCCATGGAGCCACGGGCATGGGCAAACTAATAGAGACAGACAAACATGTGCACTGCATTTCAAATTACTACAAAGCACTTTTTTTGTTTCAGTCTGTAAGGCCAAACCTCAAGAAATGTGATCAGTCCAGCACTCTGATCCTTCCAGCGAGGATAAGTTAAGAGACACCCTATCATTTGTCCTACACTGCAGACAACCACAGGGGTTATAAGACCTTTCTTGCCGCATTACTTTTTGCTCAACACAACATTTTATCTCTTCATCATAAAAAAAATCGTGTTTATCCCTTAACTATCAGCACAGTTGCAAAGTATCTGAATGAGTGTGACACTATTGTCCATAGCTTCACTGCAAACCACTTACAGCTGCGTCAGTATATTTAAATTAAAGATTTTCATACATAATTTGCTTGTAATTTAATAATCCAGCTGTGTGTTAAAAAATATCTTCTTCTTCCAGTCCAGGTGGTTCCTGCATCATCCTCTAGGACTGTGCACTTCACTAGTTCCCCCCACTGATTAGCACGGCTTTATTAGCCTCAGCTGCAAAACTGATAATACAGTTGCACAAATCAAAAATATGTCACAGGTTGTTAGCGCTTTCTTCAATCTGGCGTACTCGATAAAATGCATGGGCTGGGTTTTTTTGGTTTTGGTTTTGTTTTTTTGTGCCATGTGTGATGAACTTCGATTCATCCAGCTTGGACAGCAATACCTTGTAATGTTCCTCTTCTAATGGCCTCACCCAGTGGACGGAACCGAAAGCCCAGTTTTCAAAGTGTATTCTCTAATAAACACATGAACGCCTTTGACATGTGTTTTAAATTAAATTGCCTTCCAACACATGTAAGAGCCATTAAACATAGTGGTCTTACAGCCACATTCTCTCATTTACATTGTGTTTTTGTGATATAAACCAGGTTTTCCCCTCAAAAAATATTACTTGTAATTTTGGCTTTAGCTCACCGGTCCCGTTGGATTTAGCTGTTAGTCCTCCCAGAACAACTGCAGTCATTTTTTTTAAAGTCTCCATTTCTTTTTATTTCTCTTGTTGTTCCTTGCACACATGAGGCCACCATGTCTGGGATCCAGAACGACCATCTCAGGAGTTACTCACAGTTGCAGCCAAAAATCAGGCGAAAAATAAGGCTAGGGGATGCAGGTGGGGGTTGTGGGTATCCAGAGTGGTGCAGTAGGATTCAGAAAGAAAGTTTCCAACTGCAGTACCTCATCAGTATGAAAACGATTTGAATTTTCTCCTCATCAAAGTTATAGTTTCCCTTTCACTGTGGATTCGGCTGGAGCGGCTGTGTGCACGTTTCATTTAATTTCTGCAACCTGGGGCGGATGTGTATACCAAGGACGGATTCCATTTTTGCTTTATGGGTCACAGATGATGGAAGTGTTTAAGAGTGTTTGTCCAATAAATGAGCTATTTGTTTAGAAATGCTATTAGAAGCAATGTGCTTCTTTTTTTTTTCTTTTTTTTTTAAATGGCTGCATGCCCATATTTCTAGTTAGTGTCACATGTGTTTGTGATAGAAGATAACTTCTTGCTTTTTCTAATCTGTGCTCCAGGTGTGTATCTACCACCTGGTGCTGGGTTAGGACCAGGAGGCGGTGGAACAGGAACTGGATTCTTTCCAGGTAAAAGAGCATCCACCCAGTGTCTGCACAATTTAAAAACAAAAAAACATCCAGAACGCAGCCACTATAAACAAAGTCTGCTTCTCTTTAGAAAAGGTATGAGAGGTACATTGAACTACCGTGGAGCAGAAGTTTAACTAAAAGAAATAGTAGTATAAGAATCACTGCAATGTGAACATGCAATTGACTCAAAGACACTTGCAGTATTATGTGCAAAAGAATATAAGAAACATAGCACTCTGCTTGGCAGTCCTTTGTCATCAAACTTCAAAGCTGAGTTGATAGTTAAGTCTTGGCACTGATGATTCAAATGACTGAAAGTGGCTCACACAGATTTAACGTTCTTATTTATAACTGAAACCTAAGGGGTCTGTTTCTGTCAAAAGCATAAACTGGAAAGTCTGAAACTGAGTAAATATTTAACCCAAAAAGTCTTTCAAGGGTGAAAATGTGCATGTTTGTGACATGTAATCATCCTTTTCTCTTGTTATATGTACTCAAAAATATACACTCATATGAAAAAGAAAGTTTTCACATGACTTCCTGCAGTCCTGTCAAAGCACACTCTTACTGCCTCCAGAAGAATTAATAAGGTAAGGAGGAGCCAGGTGCTGCTAATCAAATGCATATAATTAATCATCAGGAAGTGTGACCATTTCCAAAGGTTGCCTGAAGAAAGCGTCTTTTCTCTAAAATAAACATGACAGCATGGCTTAGGCTTGCAAAGCTGCATTTGAACAAACCACAAGATTTCAGGAACAATTTCCTTCGAGCCAAAGTAGAAATGCTTGGCCCTAACGCACAGCATTGTGTCTGCTGAAAACCAAACACAGCATATCAAACACATCATACCACCGTGGTGCAGGGGGGATGATTTCGGTTTATTTTGTAGCCACAGGACTTGGGCACCTTGAAGTCACAGAGTCGACCCTGAACTCCTCTGTCTCAAAGTATTCTAGAGTCAGATGTGGGGCCATCTGTCAAACAGTTAAAGCTTAGCTCAAACTGGGTCATGCAACGGTACAGTGATCCCAAAAAATTTACAACAGAATGGTTGAAGCAGAAAAAAATTAAGGTGCTGCAATGACCCAGTCAAAATCCAGACCTCAACCTGACTGAAATTCTGTGGTGGAACTTTAATAGAGCCGCGCATAAACAAATGCCTGCAAACCTCAGTGAACTGAAGCAACCTTGTACAGGAGAGTGAGCCAAAATTCCTCTGCAACGATGTGAGGGGCTGATAAAGTCACACTGAAAATGATTACTTCAAGTTATTGCTGCTAAAGTTGGGTCTATAAGCTATCGAATCATGGGGCATACTCGATTTTTCACCAGACTGCACGGAGTCCTGTGCAAAACTTGACTGCATACAATCAATGTATAAGCACATGCATTCAGTGGTTTATAACATATACCTTAATGTATGCATGTGCAGCATTGTCATTTCTGGAAAAGGAACACAGATTTTGAGCCTCACAAGTGGACTTATGTGACCGTGCTTCATCATGATATAAAAACTTATATGCAAGTATGTAGTAACCCTCAGAAGATGCCACAAGACACTCCTGGTGTCCTGAGAGAACTTATGACACAAGTCAGCTGGCATGATGATAAACTGTGATTTACCTTACTACATGTAGGCAAACCATAAATCAATAGTTGTATGACTGTTATTTTACTAGGGGCTGCTGGAGGGTTCCCTGCGGGCTATAAACCAGCTAAAGCTGCAGGTGAGTAGAAGAGATTTTTTGATTTATGACTTTCCCCCCCAAAAAAACAATAAAAATAACTTCTCAAGAATTGCATCTGGTTTATCATGAACCGGAGCATTCATGTCTCTGTCTGTGATGTGGACAAATTAAACAAAATTATATCATAAAAGTCCGCTTCAAATATGTATATTGGAAGAATTGTTTTTTAGCCTCATGGTGCTGTGCATGGATCAACTCAATCAACTCATTGTCTTCCAGCTACTGATTAATATTTATACATTTTTAATAAGCTTCAGCATCATCTAGGCCGCTCTGTGAGGAGAGTCTTTCATTCGGCTCAGCCTAAATCAGCGATATTTTCCATGTAAGTTTCTATAAATCGAGAAAGTAGTGTCATTGCAGGCACAGGTATTCAGTCTGGTGATTGTCATTTCACACATCAGCAGCAGATACTCACACACACAATTTTAGCAGCAGCTTTACACACCCTGTGTAGTGCCCTGGCAGGGCTTCAGCTCCCATTTGCTGAACAAGTTTGACCTTGTGCACCTTTTTCATTTTTTTGCTATATTTTATGCTAATGCTATTTGAGGGCTATGCGCACGTTAAGTTTACGACATTAAGCATGCAACAGTGTAACATTAGTTCCATAAGAAACAGACTGCAGTCCTTGAGACAAATTTCCCTGTCAACGCTCGGATTTGGTTCGGCCGGATCAAGGGGAAACAACTGGTGAGACTTCCTTATCACGCCACCACAAGCTAAGATTAATTAAATCCAAAGGATATTGCTGAGGCAGTAAAACAATGTGTTTGAGGGCTGACCGCTTTTAATAAGCCTGTTTGCTGGAAGGCATTATGAGTTTTCTCTTATATGGTCTTTAACAATGATTACCGTGATAATTAACAGCCATCTCCAAATGGTAACGATGAAGACAAAATGACGACATGACACGAGATCGTTACAGAAACAAACACAGCAGTGCGACCGTGATCAGCCTATCATTAATATTGTCATCACTTTTGTCATCATCTGCTGTTTCTGTCAGGAGGTTATGCAGGAGGAGGTGGAGGCCGAGGCCTATTCGTGCCAGGGGCAGGTGGCCAGGTCATTGCAGGATTGCCAGCAGGTATGAAGCAACTGCGCTTAATTGATTTAGCTGTCGACCAGCAATGCACCTGCCTTTAGGAGCCGCTGTCATTACACATAATCAGGCAAAGCATTTCGGCATCTTAAGTCATAGCTGTCCGTTTGTGTTAAAACAGTTTAACAAATTATGTCACAATCAGATAATCACACAGTCCTCGCATATTATGTTTGCTTTGACTTCAACAGGACAAGGTGGAAAGGCCCCTAAACCAGGTAAGCTGGAACATTTTTTTAGTGTTATTGTGGTTTTTATTCTATCATTTTACTGATATTAAAACAGACTCTGATTTTTACATGGAGCTAACACTAATCTACACTTTCACAAAATATTTTGAACCCACTATTTTTGCTCTGTTTCCACATGATGCAGTATTGCAATAATAAGGAGATTTTACACCATGTTGGACGGTCTTGAAAGGAAGGAAATCTAGTCACTCTATGGTCTGCATTACCTTTACCCACCCAGTCCTTCAAGAGACAGTCTATTGATCGGGTGCCAGCAGGTTGTCCTTATCAGCCCTGGGGTTTTTTGTGGTGGTGGGGTTGGCATCTCTCTGGGGAATCCTGACTGGGTGGGATCATACATACAGATTTCTCTACCTCTGCTGCATGAAAAGGATTAAGGAGTGATGATTGGCAGAGTGCAAACAGCTATCAACGCCTGCCAAGCAGTGGTGCCAGAGCACTGATTAATGTTATTGTAAAGCTGGACCCTCACAATATCTGGAAACCTCCGTGTTGAAATTTACCACAGCCCTTCTCTCCGATACTGTACAATAAATATTTTCCTTTGCTGTATTTTAGTCTGCACCGCATTGGTGCTCTAGTAAATTTAGCCATCATTTAATTTCCCCCAAGCACCGCTGATACAATCGCAGCCTACCTCTCTGTGTTTAGAAAGATAAGGGACCAAGCAATGGTTCTATAGTCCTGATAACACATGGAGCGGGGTCCCTCTGGAGTGCCACACCCTCACCCTCCAACCAGAGAAGCTGGAAAGCACTTTTGTGAAAATGACCTAATATCCAGCATTTGGTGGAAGTTGACTTTGGCTGGGCGCAGCAGAGCATTACTGGAGAAATATTGCGCTTTTGTGTGCATTTAAGACCCCTCTCTTCCTCACCATGTACACGGCAGGAATTAAATTGGTGAGAAAAAGGGAAGTGAGAAATGTTTTAAAAAGCTCCTTTCGTGTTTGTTTTAGATCAGTGCTCCGCTCTGAATCCATACTAATCTTTGTTGTATGGAAAATACTCACAGTGCATTACTGGGGTTTAGCTAAGACGCTTTTTTTAAATGGAAAAGAAGACTTAAAGTCTCAGGGGAGCAGTAATATGTTCCGCTTCATGGCTGTTCACAAAGCTTTGAATGTTGGTTTCCATCAGAGCTGCTTTCCTTTCCATCAGAGGAATATTGCCTGAAGCCTTACAAGCATGAAGCCTCCATTAATACACAAATGTATATCTACAGTTCACCTGTAAGTAAGACTCACACAGCGGCAGGTAGAATCCATCCCATTGGTCAGTGTCTGCAGGCTTGTGCTGCAGAGAGAACATGCAACTATCACGTGAAAATTCACTGACATGTTTTTAGTTTTTCATTAATCTTCAATATTAAGAGCAGGATTGTCTTTCTAAGGACACACAAACGCAAACACTGGTCAGCTAATCTCAGATGCATGCTCACATAACAAGAGCTGCCATTCATTCTTCTGATGAAGTCAAGCAGTGACATTGCATTCCTCAGATATGCACCTTGCCTTTGCAGTAATGGAGAACAGCAGCTGGCTATGTGAGTAGCGTGACTGCAGTGAATTGCAGCGTAACTCATGCAAGACCTTGTAAATGTTACACTAATTGTGAAGTCTGTCAGCATCCAGCTCTGACAATACAATGAAAGGTGGAAGGAGGAACTTTCTCCTTATGAACAGCTGTTGGAGCCCTTTTCTTGTCCTGCCTCAAGCGAAGGTGGAATCAATACTCATAGCGTTATTGCTGAAACTTGGCTCTCGCCGACCAGCCTCTTGTCACTTTCAGGCAACGTGAACGCAGTTAACGAGAAACATAGAGGTTACTGTTTTTGCTGTTGGTGTAATTTCTTTGTACGATTACAATGGTCTGTTTTAGCTTGAGAAAAGATGTGTCTGTGTGGGAGAGCTGCAATGTGTTTACACTCAGCCTACCAGTGGACTCTCCAAGAGTAATAAACACTGAAGATCATAGACAACATGTTGTCTGTCTTCATTTTCTAACGCTGTCAGAAGCTGACAAAAGCGAGCCTCGGCCTTTGAGCAATGAAAACGTATATGAGCCATCGGGATCTGTAAGCAATTTAACAGACTATAGATCTCATACAGCAGATGGATGAAATACTGCTCGTGTATAGCTTGTCTGTCGAAAGCATCAGTGGCAGTCGGGCTTTTATTAGTTTCTAGGCTCATAATGTTATAAAATAGGTATGTGTGAGCAAATAGCAACGACTAAAGGAAAAAAACTAATGGCTGGCTGGCAGCAAGTCGCAAATCTGAAGAAATTAACATCTCAGGAGAAGACAAGTAGGCATCAGGTGTCACTTCTTTGTAAGAAAGTCCAACACTAGCTTTTAGGAAAGCTGTCGCTGAACAGTCTCTGTGCTATTCAGGACAGCTGAGTACACTGAGTTTCTGAGTAAGCTCTGCCAACTGCCATCCAACCAGAAAGAAAGACGGAAATTGATATTGTGAGCCTGGTAATGTAAGCCCACTGCTCGGCTTAACCTTGTGATGCAACTGCAGTGTAGTACAACTCAGCATTACAACCTGAAGTCTCCAAAAAGTCTTTGCGAAGGCGCAGCGGGATTTGTTGCAGAGCCGTTTATGAATAGATAAGCGTACTAGAAAAAACTGGCAGCTGAGTGTAAAGAGTCTCGCCTTCTCTGTGGCTCTTCCACTGAAACATGATGATGAAAAGTATTGGAAAATGTAGTCAAAAATCCTCCTTGGAAAATTTGAGATACATGTAACATTTTGGTCCACACAGAAACATGTCTCTGAGTTGTTTTGGCAGTCATATGGACCTGCGTGGCAGCAGGCCAGCAGAGAGTTGTGGCTGCTGATTGCAGAAAATACATGCAGGTGGTGGGCTTGAGTGTTCGCAGCACTTTAGACTGTTTGTGAAAATCTGAAATAAATGAAGATATTCACTTTAATACCATCACTGGGGGGGGAAAAGCCCCTGTAATTCGTAAGAAAACAGTTATTTCAACACACGCACTTCTTTTTTTTTTCACCTAAAAACTCAGAATTTCTTTTTTCAGTTAATCTTTCTAGGATTTAAAAAGCAGAAGTACACCTGCTTTTCTTTTCCTGCTCATCTTCTGGTTCATATCGCGGCCATTGTTTGAAGACGCACCAAGTGAACTTGTCTTCTTCAAAAGCAGGAAAGGCAGAGAAATTGAAGCGTGCAGTGGACACGGGGAGGACAGACGAGAGACAGGCTAAAGCAAGGAGAACGGAAAGGACCGATAACTCACGCGGACATGCCGTATATATGTCATACGCGTACACCACCTCTCACCGCCGCGCAGAGAATTATATGCGCATTCATTCGCATTGCACACATACCGAGAGAGCTCTGTGAGAGAAAGGAGACTGATAGATTGAGGTGAGGATTAAAGTGTTTAGCCAAAAGAAGATGAGCTCTGAGGAGGTTTAGTCTCCTGGAGCACATGTGGTTTTCATTACCGCAGCTCAGACCTGTCCTCTGAGCTGTCAGAGACTGGAAGCATCTGCATGTGAATATGCATGACTATGATTGTATGTAAATATGTTTATCATCTTCATATGTGCGCAATTACGAGAGCGACCGCATGTGTGCGCGCCGACACAAACACACACAAATAGCGAATATGTATTCTGACATCGGTTTGGAGGCATTCGGCATCCCTTTCAGCACATAATAGACACACTTGTTTATGCAGGAAAAATGTGAATTATGGACTTTTCTCTATTCTTACTCAACTATCTTTCCTCTTAGTCCATTTAATCTGCCCTCCACCGGCTCTCTGCGTCAAGCGTTCAAGATCTTGGAAAATAAACTGTCTGCAACGGAAACTTTCTGATATCACCCCCACACTGGACTCAGCCCACCCAATATGCACACAGCCAACACGGCTTATTTGTTCGCATTGCAAATGCCTGTTGTCTCCCAAACAATTTTTCTTGGATTACGTCACCAGTTGTTGATGTCCTCGCGAATTCATCTCAAGAATTACATTTATATTGGATTAAAGCTTGATAAGAAGCTCTTTATTAGTTTTCATTGGTGCCTAATCAGTCAGGCGTTCCACACATCACTGTTTCTAACTGTGGTATTTCCCCACATGCAATTATAAAGTACTTTCTCTCTGCTTTAGTAATATCTCCTCAGGCCCTCACTGGCCAGTTTTGTATTTTGTTTGCACGGTTATTTTCCTGGGAACGTTACTACCGATGCATCTTGTCCGTCTCCACTTTGTTGGTTGAGCAACTGTCCCGTGACGATACTTCTCACAACCTCTTCTGACGCTCCCTTTGCCAGCAGGTCGGCAACATGCAACTGTACTTGTCCATCTGGCTGCACAGCCAAAGCGTTATTTATGTAGTGATAGAGAAATTTCTTTCTGTTGTTTTAGTAAGAGCTTATGAAGACAGGGTGAAGTCTGTGAGAGCCGAGGGCCTGTTTAGTAGATTTGTTTAAGAGTAAGCATTTACAGCGCTGTTGCTGTGGGTTGGGTTTGAAGAATTTAAAGGGCCATTAAGAGGAGATTATTTGTTTGGAAAGTTTACTGTATGCATTCCAGTCTTGGTGGGTATAAAGGATCATGCATCACACGGCATCATCAAAAGAGTGGCGGGTGATTGATACATACACAGCTCACGTCTATGCTCAGGTCTGATGCAGGGCCTTAAAAATGTTGTGACGCAACATGTGTCATTTTAAAAAAAGTCACTGCAAAAGTGTTCTGGTGCTGACGTCTTGTCCTCCCAGTGCAGGTTTGCTCATTCATTAAAGTGCTCCTAATTTCAAATAATGGGAGTCGCAGAAATTATCTCACCCCTGTGAAATGTCACTCTTGGATTTCTCAATCAGGCCCAGTGCCGGGCTTGAGTAACCTGGGATGATAAATGGGTTCTGAATGACTTCAGCTTTGGCCCTTGAGGCTTCGTAGGTATCCTAACGCATTAGTTCATGCAG